GTTGTCATGTTGGAAGACCCCGCCACGACCCATCTTCAATGCTCTGACTGAGGGAAGGAGGTTGTTGCTCAAAATCTCACAATAAATGGCCCCATTCATCCTCTCCTTAATACAGTGCAGACGTCCTGTCCCCTTCTCAGAAAAGCACCCCCAAAGCATGATGTTACTACCCCCATGCTTCACAGTAGGGATGGTGTTGTTGGGATGCAACTCATCCTTCTTTTTCCTCCAAACACGATGAGTGAAGTTTAGACCAAAAAGTTCTACTTTGGTCTCATCTGACCACATGACTTTCTCCCATGCCTCCTCTGGATCATCCAGATGGTCTTTGGCAAATTTCAGATGGGCCTGGACATGTGATGACTTGAGCAGGGGAACCTTCCGTGCAATGCATGATTTGAAACCATGACAGCGTAGTGTTCTACCGACAGAACTGTGGTCCCAGCTCTCTTCATGTCATTGACCAGCTCCTCCCTATCGTTCTGGGCTGATTCCTCACCTTTCTCATCATCCGTGATACCCCACGAGGTGAGATCTTGCATGGCGCCCCAGTCCGAGGGAGACTGACAGTCGTCTTTAGCCTCTTCCATTTTCTAACAATTGCTCCAACAGTTGATCTATTTTCACCAAGCTGCTTGGCAATTGCCCTGTAGCCCTTTCCAGCCTTGTGGAGGTCCACAATTTTGTCTCTGGTGTCTTTTGACAGCTCTTTGGTCTTGCCCATGGTAGTAGTTGGCGTCTGACTGACTGTGGGGTGGACAGGTGTCTTTAAAGAGCTCAGACAGGTGCTACTAATTTAGATTAATGAGTGGAGTAGAGGTGGACTTTTTCAAGGCACAGTAACAGGTCTTTGAGAGCCAGAATTCTTGCTGTTTCTCAGGTGTTCAAATACTTATGTTCAGCAGTGCTAGACAAATAAATTCTTTAAAAAAATCATACAATGTGATTTCCTGAATTTTTTTTTCAATTCTGTCTCTCAAAGTGGGAATGCACATACAATGTGAATTTCAGACCCCTCCATGATTTCTAAGTGGGAGAACTTAGAACTTTGTGAACAACTGCGTAAGCAAATAGTCCAACAGTTTAAGAACAATGTTTGTCAACATACAGTTGCAAGGAATTTAGGTATTTCATCATCTACAGTCCATAATATCATCAAAAGATTCAGAGAAATCTTTGCACGTAAGTGGCAAGGCTGTAAACCAACACTGAATGTCTGTGACCTTTAATCCCTCAGGTGGCACTGCATTAAAAACAGACAACATTCTGTAAAGGATATTACAGGAGCTACACATTCCAAAAACGTTGGCACAGGTAGCAATAAGAGGCCGGAAAAGTTAAATGTACATATAAGGAACAGCTGGAGGACCAATTTGCATCTTATCAGGTCAATTGGCAACATGATTGGGTATAAAAAGAGCCTCTCAGAGTGGCAGTGTCTCTCAGACGTCAAGATGGGCAGAGGATCACCAATTCCCCCAATGCTGCGGCGAAAAATAGTGGAGCAATATCAGAAAGGAGTTTCTCAGAGAAGAATTGCAAAGAGTGTGAAGTTATCATCATCTACAGTGCATAATATCATCCAAAGATTCAGAGAATCTGGAACAATCTCCGTGCGTAAGGGTCAAGGCCGGAAAACCATACTGGATGCC